CCCTGGCTTGTTGCATGTCTATACGTGTTTGAATAGACATTGTTGTATGAGACACAGCTTGGGGGCTTCTTGAAGCCCTCCCGGATGAGATCCTCCGCGTTGCCCACCATCGTGGGCGCCGCCGCAGCTTTTGCCGCTGGCCCCTTCGCTTTGGATTTCCGGCTCTTCCCCACCGCCTGGCCCTCCGGCTTGGCGCCGCCCGCGCTGTCCACAACCTTGCCCTCCGGCTCGACGCCGCCCGCGCTGTCCACAACCTTGCCCTCCGGCTTGGCGCCGCCCGCACTGGCCACAACCTTGCCCTCCTTGGTCTCCTTGGGCGTCGCATCCTCGACGCTGTGGGCCGAGCCCTTGCCAGCGTTGCCATCGCTGATGTGCTCCGACATGCGCCTGAGCTTGGTCTTGCCCGCCTCTGTGGCCCCACCCCCTTTCTTGGGCTTGCGCTTGGCCTTCTCTTTGGTGCGCCGCCCTTCGCGTGGAGCTTCCTTCCGGCTGGCTCTTGCGGTCTTCTTGGGCCCAGCGGCGGCCTTGGCTTTGCCCCGCTTGGCCTTGGCTTTGGCCACCGCCTCGATGGCCTCGTCATCTTCAGACTTGTCACCACCCATCTCTTCGATCTCACCGGCAGTGGCCACATCGTCATCTGAGGTTTGGAGCTCTTTTTCCTGCCCTTGGGTTTTCCTTGCTTAGAAAAGTCAGGAGGTGCTGCTGCCTGAACTTCTGAAAGCACTTGTGCAAGGAAGGCAGGTGCCGGATTCATCGGGTATTTGAAATCTGTTGTGGCCTCAGTTAAAAGGCAGTTCTTTTTTGCATGGGGGGGCAACCATAAGAAGAGTATATGCAATTGTTTTTCAGTCAAGCCACGGTCGCTTTTGCGCAGCATGGCGTTGCCACCTGTAGGGTTACTGGGTTCATGTGAGAAAGCAGCTGACCAACATGGCTCAAGATTCTATTAATATAAGACAAAAGGGCGCTAAATTCCGGTTTGGCTTTTTTGCAAGGGTCAAGTTGCCCGTTTGGAGAGTTGCCCAAATGAACATTGGTCTTCACTGTCACGCGGCGCAGTCTTGGAGCAGGCCGTGCGTCCAGGCTTGCCAGGTTGCGGGCCATCCGTTGGCGCGGCCACCAGAACCTCAGGCGGGCCATCCGTTGGCGCGGCCACCAGAACCTCAGCCGTTGGCGCGGCCACCAGAACCTCAGGCGGGCCATCCGTTGGCGTGGCCACCAGAACCTCAGGCGGGCCATCTGTTGGCGTGGCCACCACAACCTCAGGCGGGCCATCCGTTGGCGTGGCCACCAGAACCTCAGGCGGGCCATCTGCTGGCGTGGCCACCAGAACCCCAGGCTGCAGGTCAGCCATTGGCGTGGCCACCAGAAGCTCAGGCTGCAGGTCAGCCATTATCGTGGCCACCAGAACCTCAGGCTGCAGGCCATCCAGGCCATCCATTGGCGTGGCCACCAGAACCTCAGGCTGAAGGCCAGGCGTAACCACCAGAACCTCAGGCTGCAAGCCATCCATAGGCGTGGCCACCAGAACCTCAGCCTGCAGGCCATCCATTGGCGTGGCCACCAGAAGTTGAGGTTGCAGGTCATCCGTTGGCGCCGGGGCAGTAACTTCTGAAACAACAGGCTCCTCCTCAGAGTCTGAAATGACCCAGCATCGGATGAGCTCCATGTCCTCTGGACCCAAAGCCTCCCCCAGCGGCTCTGTTGGCTTGGCGTTGTTGCCTTCGGCTTGGTTGATGCGTCCCTGCGCCTCTGGTTGCGTCTCAAAGAGCGCGTCCTCCGTCGTGTCCTCCTGCGTGGCCGCCACCAGCGGGGTCTCCATGCCTAGGCTAGAAGGTCAAAGGCAAGGTGGCATGGTGAAAAAGTGACACTCCATGGATAGGGGAATATGATTCCACCAAAGGGCATGCAGGTGGAGGCATATATCCTATAATCTCCAGGTCATCATCGTCATCAAGTTGGGCATGTTTTCTGCCACGGGATTTTCTTGGGTTAGGCTTGCAAACTGCCAAAAGGCGAGACGCGGCCTGCAGGGCATCACATAAGGTATGTGTGCCTCCCCCTTGGTGCCCCTGTCCAGACATTTTCGCCAGTAGCGTCTTGAGAATGATAACAATGCGTACATCGCATAAGCTTCCTGATGGCTTGTTTGCATGTGTCAGTCAGCTTCATCGTGTTTTGAAACATGTCCATATTGCTAGCCGAAAGGCGTCGACATACCATCTCCTTTGGTCGCGGCGAGTTTTTCGCTGACTCAAATTGCAGTCAACGTCCTTGTCCAGCTTGTTGAATACAGACCCTAGAAAGTCTATGCTGAATTCGCCTGCGTGGCATCACAGTGGCCCATGCCATAACTACAACGTACTGAAGCATTGCCACAAAGCAAGCAGCCTTCGGGAGACAGCTCAAACATTGAGACTACGAGGTCCAGGTATTTCATCATATCGGCAATCTTCACGTTACCCACATCGCCGATGAGGCCAAAGAGCGTGTTCTTGTTATCAACTTGCCTTTTTGTGCACTCTAGGAATGCCGATGAAGGCAAATGTATCTTCAACAATCCTTGGAGCGTTTCTGCGCAAAGTTGTGACACAACACCTCAAATGCAGGCCAGGTGCCACAGACTTGTCCAATTTTTTCCGCAGGAACCATCGCCATGTTGAGCCAAAATGAGCTCGAGGCGAAGATGCGACGTCTCCCCGTAAAATCCATAAGCCCGATTTGGTTTGACCACTCTTTTCCCCACCCCTTCACCCTTCCCACGTTGCGCCTGGCTTGATGCTGATGCGCCCCCGAGGCATTCGCAGCGACGAAGCTCAGCGTGCTTCAAAAAGCAGCATCGCCGCTCAGGGTGGGCTGCCCCATCAAGTGGCCACCCCATGCCGCATGGGCATTGGACATGTTTACTGCATGAGTGTGCTGTTGATCAGTGTTGGATGCACTGCATCTTGGGTGTGTCTGTGTTGAGGGTACCCTTTATCAAACGAGCGCCAACCCTTGTTTTTGGGGTTCCCCGCTTGGAGAGAAGCCTCTTTGCTATAGCCGTCATATGACTTGCAAAGATGCAACACAACTCTGTGATGTTAGACTGAATCTCATATCTGCGTCCTTGGTGCCAGCAATGGACAACAAGAGTAACGAGGCCTTGATAGGAAGCTCGGGGCCTCACCTTTGAAATTTGAGGGCCTTTGAGGGCCCCTCGGGGCGTATCTGAGACCTCAATGCAAGGCCCCGGGGCGTGCAATGCACACCCCATCGACCCTTAGGGCACTTGATTATTTCTCATTTGTTTCCTCGTCAATTAACTTTATTCTGTCTTATTTGTTGTTGCTGCTCTCTTTGTTATTTATTCTTTGTTACATATACATGTCAGATATATTTTTATATGTCTTTCTTTTGCCTTTCTTCTTTCTTTATGGTTTCTGAATTTATTGTTTCTGCTTTCTTGCTTCTTCTGTCTTCCTTTTTGTTTCTTCTTTCTGCTTTCTTCTTTCTCTTACTCTTTCTCTTACTATCTCTCTCCCTCTTTCTTTGCCCTCTCTTTGTCTCGCCCTTGTCGTGCTGCGAGTGCCATGAAATCTGGTGGAGATGAAGCGTGGTTCAAACTATATGGCTCATTTTTAATGCTCGTGACTTTTGAAAGGGATCCATTTGAATGGATCAGTAAAAGCAAAGCAGTCCTGCGCCGGAACGTCAATTTAGCAAATGCGTGAAAAGCTCAGCAAAGGACGGTCGACGTTGCAAAACAAAAACATATCAAACTTAGGGCCAATGTAGCAAGAGGTCGAACAGGTCAAGGGAATCAACTTAGCAAAGATGTCTCGTTTTTCCCAGAATAGTGAGAGGCTGAGGGTACTCCTTCTGCTGGTTCTGTTTGTTTAGAGAAAAGTGCAATCAATAAAAAGATGTTGCTGCAACAGCGATCTTCCCCTACTTGCAGTACTTTCCTGTTCTCGTTCGATGTTCTTTTCAAGGCTCGGTAGTCTGAAACTTGACCTCTTGTGCTTGCGCTGCCTCTACCAGCCGAGCCTTATTTTTCTTGGTCGAGCTTCTTCGCTCAACCCGTTCGCTGTTCCTTGGGAATATGTGGACACAGAACAATGATTAAGGGGAAACTTGGAAGCGCACAGACCTGTCTTGTTTAAGAATGTCCTTATCATTGGCGCAACGACCTTCTGGACGAGTGCAAACACCCGCAAACGAGCGCTGATCGTTTGCAACATCGCAATGGGCACGGTTTCATTGCTCGGGCCGAAATGGACACAACAAATGTTTCTTTGAGTGTCGGGTTGATCTTCCTTTGCCAGGCTGATCCTGCTTTACTGGAGGATGTTCTTCAAATAGCCTGGGCTTCATTTGCTATGTTGAGCTTCTTCTGCGATAAGACTTTTTTTACATGTGACCGATCTAAAATAGTGTAACATACAGGAACTATGACAAGACACCTGTGATGACTACTTTGAGCTGTTCCCAAATTGAAGAAAATATCAATGCAGGATGCCACATGATCCGTCCTAATTGATATGAGTTTCCCAACATACATATATACGTAGATATACACATGTTTGTTATCATGCTGGTCATTCTGTGCGCGCTGATCTTCTCATATATGGGACCAACGTTCCGGGGAAGGCTCGGGAAGATTCTGACTCGCGCCTTTGACATGCCCATTTTAAGCGGGAGTTTGCTTTGAAACGAGTCGATTGGACGGGCAAGCCCGATGACAAACACAGCCTTGGACGGTTGTTGTCCTTTGTTTCCACCAATCCAACAGCATTGTGTTCTATACTCCCTCCTTTTACCTCTTCTTCAAATGGGTGTTTCTCAAGATAGGTGGCACCCCCAAACTGGTAGGTGTCCTTTGGGTTTCCCGCTACTCAGTTGCCCAACGCCCAGCGTTGGACCGTTTGGCTTTCAATTTTGGTCCATGTTTCGTCAAGGTCCCGAAAGGTGAGCCTTTCAACCAGCCCGGGGGTTTTCCAGTTTGAGAGTTTCTCCAGGCAGGGCTACGGCAAGAGGAAGGACATTCTCAACACCAAACAGTTGGACCGCGAGCTGGATTACATCACAAAATACGTGGCTGGGACGTGGCTGGCACCATGGGTCTGTTGCTTTTTGAGACTCCCCTTTTGGTTGGTTCCAAAGGAAGCCAAAAGGAAACCAACCATTTTGGGGACCAACCCCCAGGCATTTGTGCCCTGACTAAATTATGAGCAAAGACTTGCCTGCTCTAGGGCCGCTGATTGTTTGCCAGTGTGTGTTTGTTCTTCTCAACCATGCTGGCATGCCCAGTGACCGGTGATCCCATTTCCCTGTATTGTAGGTGATCAACTGCAAGGGGTGTCCCACCCTCACAAAACCAAAATAGAAAATCAGCTCAGGTGATATCCCCAACAGCGTGCGGCACTCTTGTTCGACCCTGGGAACCTTGCGGAACTGTCGCGAACCCTGGCAGAACCCTGCGGAACCTTGCATCCTTGCTGGACCCGCAGAACCCTCGGAACCCTGCAGAACCCTGCGGAACCCTCACGGAACTCTGCAGAGCCTTACCTCAGCCGCCCCCGGAGCTCGCAGAACCCTTGCATGCGCTCCTTGAACCTTTCACCTGGCCTGCACCAACCACCTCCGACCACCCGGAACCTCCAGAACCTCCCTTGAACCTTGCAGCCTTCCTGCACCCACCTGGAACCTCCGGAACATTGCTTGATCACCTGGCCTGCGCCAGACCACCCCGGAACCTCCGGAACCTTCCTTGAACCTGACTCCGCCCCCAAACCTTGCCTGGGCTGAGACCCCTTAGCTTTCAGCTGTTCGGGAAACAAACGAAGCGGACACTTTGCTGGTAATTACCTGGGACCTGGGAAAGATTTCAATCCTAGGTCTTGGGTTTGTCAAGATTTGAATCCTTGTCAACGAGGATTTGCATCCCTAAACGATTTATCCTTCCTTCCTCTACCATTCCCTGCCACTCTTGCCCTGCTTGGCCTTGTCTCATCGCTTGGGATCCCACAATGGGCGGTGGGGGCACCTTTTGAACAGAAGAGAAATCCACATCACACCCGCGAGGTACCTTTTTGTCACTTAGGTGGGTGCAGATCTCCCGAAAATTGCTCAGGTGAGGGACAGATGGCCCTGGTCCTCAGAAGTGCGGAAGCCGGGCCCTCGGGGTAACCCAAAGGGGACCAAACACGAAGAGGTGAATAGGTGTGTGGAGCCTCGTTTTTGGCACGTTTCTTGGAACCCCGACTTGCAACGTTTGGGGAAGTCTAGTCACCCTCGTAGTTTGAGGAGTTGGCTTAGTAGTGCACTGCGCAAAATCGACTGCGAATCTGGTCCAAAGCTGGCATTCCAAGCTGAGTGTTGAGAATCCGGATGCTTGTTTCCCACAAGGGGCCGCGGGGCCGGGGGATTTTTCCGGGGCACTCCAATTTTGTATTGGCCCCAGTCACTTGCTCACTTGAGTGGAAACTGCCGCTAGCAGCAGGCTACCTTACTTGACATTGGGATTTACGCAACCACCAACCATTCTCGAGAACCTTTTTTGAGTATGTTCCAGCCATTTTGTTTGTTAGACCCCGCGTGTCAAGGGCTGTTGCGATAGTGTACTGTTTTGTTGCAGCTACGGCTATGTGTTATACACTTAGCATGTAGCGGTACACCTTTGAACCCTACCATGGAAGACGGAGCGATCAAGAGAAAAAATCCCACGGTAGACTGAAACCAAGCGCGTTCCCTTTTGAGGAAATGAACCGCAAATGGGCTTGGCCAATTGGAGTTTCATGAGCCCAGCAAAACGTTTTCCGCATTTGGCCATAAACTGCCCCAAATGGTACGAGCGCAGTACTCCCTATTCAATTGGTGTTTTGTGTCGGCGTCCCTTCATCCAACTGGGTGTCTATTTGCAGTTGGGCATTAAAAAACCCTACACTTACCTGGTTTTTGGGGTGTATGGTAAGGGCTACATAAACCTTTTCAACCATGTCATGTTGGAGCCAAGAGTCGATGGGCTTTGAGCGCTGCTTAATTGTTGGCACCTTTTGAAGTCATTCAAGGGCTGTTTGCTCTGAGTACCACCCATTTTAGTCTATTGTAGTGGGGATTGCGATGTTCACTTGGGGTACGGGCTTTTGACCCATGGTTGCCATACTTCTCGTGTAAGGTACCCCCATAGAGCTGGGTAGCAGCCGGCCCCGAAGCACTTGAGAGAATTCACGGTGGGAAGGTGTGTTCAACGGTTAGACCAAGAGATTGGTGAGGTGCGGGTTTTTGTTGTTGTGTGAAAGGGTTCTCAAAATGGGCCGGACACATGGGGGGGTGGGGGGTTCTGGTTGGTTCTTTTTTGAATACCGGAAGGGGTCCATTTTGAGAAGCCGCACTTTGATGTCGAGCTTGCCTGGAGCAAGCTCACTATCATGTAGGAGCCACTATCAAAGTAAATCAGAATATCAATCCATGCAGATATATAGCGAGACTATGGAATTTTCAGCCAGGAAACCAGGTACTGCAAAGTTTGATTATCAATTTGCTTTGTGTTGTTTTTTTGTTTTTCGTTTCCGAGAACCCTCTTTTGCGTGGCCCTTGCAAGGGAAACCCAGGCGAAACCAACCTATTTTTTTGCCATCAACAAAGGGATCCAGATTTGTCTCTTTGTTGATGCTTGATACTGTCTTGGAAGATCACATTGGTAAGCGAAGAGTTTGTTTTTTGCGGCCAAGCCACTTAGGAATAAAGAGGGTCACCCACTTGATGGTTTCTCTCTGCTCTGCCAGGCGACATGTCCAAGCTGTTTGTTGTGAAGTGCAAAAGTTGCTCTTCGTGCTCAAGTACGGAAGGCCAGCTCAGGGATGCAGGAGTCTCCAGGTTTGACACAGGTCCAACTAGATGTTTTTTTCTTATTGGTGACGTGTGATGTTTGTAGGTTCGACAGTTAGACATGTCAGGTCCAACTCCTAGGCGTTTAATTTGTGACCCACGCCGTCTTGGGAACGGTTCCCCTTTAAACTCAGCCAAAAAGGGATGCCGATTCTTTTTCCCATGGAAATCCACTGGCAGGGCATCCGAGTTTCTCTTCTGCTATTTGGTTGGACCTTAGATCTCAGAAACCAGCTACAATCAGCTACAGGACATTCTACAGGACATCGACTTGTTTCCTTTTTTGTTTGTTTTTGCTAAGTTGGATCTCAAGAGATCTCAGAAACCAGCGACTGGTTTTTGGTGCCCTGCAGTGCCCTGACGAGACACTGAATTACAACGAATTGGAACGCTTGATCCTTTTTTTCGCGCACTTCTCCACACCAATGTGTGATCCGTTTGTCTCTGCTCACTGCTCACCTGTGTGATGTGTTGTGGTTGCTTGGAGAAGACGAGCTCAGATTCCAAACGGGGGTCCCAGCTTGCCTCCAATTCGTAGTTTGGAGGCTTGGTTCCCGCAAGAACCCGGGAGCCCTGCAACCACCAAACCGAACCTCCACTTTTCCTCGGGGCTGCGGCGACTCGCCGATTTGTCCGAATCTTTGGAGGCCGGCTTCCACGTTTTCGCGGCGGACCGCGCAGATCACGATGACCTCATTGGCAGGGCTGGTGGCCAAAAAGCGGCGCGGACCTGAGGCTTCTGGCGTGGAACCGAGCTAAATGAGCCAAACAAACCCAAGAGCCGCGCGCAACTAAGATCTCTAGCCCAAAACTCGCCCGAAGCTCGAAACCAACCCCGAGCAACTCTCAACTGCCACCTCAGAGCCAACAGGCAGCTCCGAGTCAGGCCGGTGCCCTCAACTTGGAAAGCTTTAGATGCACATCTGCGTTGTGGCAAAAACCGGGGCGAGCAAAAAATCGGGGCGTTGTGTAAGAAAAACAACTCAACCCTTTTGTGCCCCCCGTTCAAGAGGATGAAAGGATGGTCCGAAAATAGGACTCTTTCTTTTTGAGCAAATTATGGAACCAATTGCTTGTTCCCTCGCTTGAAGTTCCGTCTCGAGTTCCCGGCTTGAGGCCGGCAAGCAAGCGTGGCAGTCCTGGCAGGCCTGGCAGGCCAGATTGGGACTTTGGACACATTCTGGCAGTAGTGCCCTTTCCCCCTTTTTTGGGAGGGTTCCCCTACTAAAATTTAATAGACTACAGAAAAAAGGGTACCCTTCTTCTAGCCTCTCTACTGGAGGACCTAGCATTCTGCGGCGAAATCTCTGAAAAGTGGGGTTGGGGTCCTTTGGTTACTCTGCAAGTGCTCATGGGTTCAACGTGTTCATGTGAATTCGGAATTGCTCCATCCCCCGTTTCGGGTTCTAAAAGTCCGATCGACTCGCAGGCCACGTGGGTCCAACAAGGCCAAGAAGGTCCACCAGACGATTCGCAAGCGCTGAGTTTTTTTGTTTTTTTTTTTTGTTTTTTTTCGGCGGGCGGAAATTTGTGCAAGATCCGAGGATCCGGAGGAAGTCGACCTCGCTCGATGAAGAAAGCCGGAAGGCAGACACAAGGGCGAGTGGAGGACTTGAAAAGAGCATAGAAATTTATGTGCGAGGTTCCTCTCAGAAATTGTTTGATGGGGTGGGGTACATTTGTTTTGGGTAAGAAACGCAACCTCGACCTTTGGGAGGATTCGGCTTGGCTCAGGTCCCCAACAGTTTGTTTCGTCTTGGCATTCACCTTCACCCAGTTGCCCAGTGGCGCCCTTTTTCCTTCTTTTTTTTGGAGGGGTTCCCCTTTGAATTCAACCAACCAAAAAGGGGGGCCCTTGTTTTTCCTGTAGCTGCTGGGCATCTGAGTTAACCATTTTGAGCCAGGCACAACTTCCAGAAATGTTCCGGTGCAATCTGCCGCCACCGCTGGCCGGTGCTCTGCTGGCCAAAGCCAAAGTCACAAGGGAGCGAAGGTCGACCGCTTAGGTCTCATTCTCGCCGGCAAATGCTGGCTTCCTCCGCCAGTGCCATGGTCAGCAGGTTGCAGTTGCCAGGAAAGCGCATGAACCCCCCCACAAGTTGGAGGTGTTTATAGCAGTTGTCACCGG